CATTGCCCTATGTGCACTGGCCGTGATGGCATCGATGTGATTGACAAACGTCAGTCTTGTGTCGAAAATAACGCCGAGATCCTTGTGTAAATTGATTCGTTCAAACTTGTGTTGGCCGTTGTTGATCGTATAAACGTAGTGGATTGCGTTTCCACCTTCTGCATACGTCATTACGAAGCATTTCCTCAGATTCAAATTTAGGCTGTTTTCAGTGCACCAGTTACTCAGCTGATCAATGGCATTTTGGAGAGTAATGGCATCATAGGCAATTGGATCATTGTGATCAATTTAAGATCATCTTCGACAATGTCAATAATAAAAATAATAAAGAGGCATGGACCCAAGATACTTCCCGCAGGTACTCCTGATGACACAGTGAAAGTTCTTGACTTTCTTTCTCCGATTCCAAGAAATTGTGTTCGCCTGTCAAATATCCATGGAACCATTTTTTGACTATTGAGTCCCAAGGGTATGGCTATGTAGAATATTGGCGAACAAAAACCTTACAAATTTGTCGGAAAAAACCTTATAAGTCTATGAACAAAATTACACAAATATGAGATAGACAATACGAAATTTGTAATTCAGATTCTATGCGATAGATGGCGTTACGGTTACAGTTATGCCATTCCCTTACCATTTGCAGTAAATTTGTTGAGGTTGATCGATTTTTACGGGTAAATCCTTTCCCATGTGGTTTGAAAAACTCTGTCGATTTGTTGGAGTTGTTGGTCGCCATTAACTTTTGTTTCATAGGATGTGAAATGTTGTGTTCAAAATGAAGGTTATGTGGTATTTTAGTAGTATTTTTTTAACGAAAAATCTATAAATATAATTAATTTGTTTGGGAACCACAAAGACTCCTTTTTGTAAACCCGTGCACGGGTAAACATGTTTGGGGTGTTTTTTTTTTCAACAAAATCTCTGGCTGATTTGTCCGAATTTTTTTTGTTAAAATAATCCATGAATTCCAATATGTTTTAAAGCGAAACATCATTAAATGAATTTTATGAACATTTAATTTTAGTAAATTGTAAAATTACAATTGAACAAAATATTGCACGGTTTGTTTAAATCCAAATATGTTCAGAAATCGGTGGATGATGACTATAATAAGGAACAAAATTGTGCTTTTGAAACAGACAATAGAAAATACTGCATCTTTTTATGCGATTTTTATGACCTTGTTTCTTGCCTATCACAAGCAGACAAGGCGTTTAGATAACAGATTTCCATTTGTTCTATTTAATACTGAAGACAGATTACCTAAAAACGTCACCGCTTCGTTATTTCTTGCATTGGCCAGAAAAAGAGAAAAAAGTGCTTTCGTCGGCGCATTTTTGTTGTGCTTTGAAAAGAGTATGGGCCATTTACTTCAAAAGCTTTTCAGACAACATAAATCAAAATTGATGTAAACTCTATTCAATCGTCAGCATTTAAGATGACTTTATTGCAATAGATTTCGTCGATAGTCGATTTTTTGTTTCTCCTTGTTTTTTTTTTGTTTATTGCGCTTTTTCTCTGTTTTCTTTTGTTGTTTGTCATTTTTCTCTCTTTCTCTTGGCGTGCGTTTGGCATTTACGACAATTAAAACGATAATCGTATATATGTACTTAAGAATCTAACCGATACCACTTCTTCATAACATATACATTGGATTTGTCTATAAAAGCATCTGGTTTATGGGGTAACATTTTACATTGAAATTTCTAAAAAAATTTGAAGGATGAGACAAACGTAGATTATAACGCTGAAAGGCATTTACGTACATAATGATTGAAGAAAAAAAAGAAGAAACCAAACATTTCGCGTCAACAGCGACGACAGCTTCGAATTCAACCAAACAGAAAAAAATGAGAGAGAATATGAAAGAGCGATTCACAGGAACCCACGTTCATTGTGATTTTTTAGCTTCTTGTGTGTGTGTGTGAGCATTTTGGTTTTCCCCATTCAAGAACATGTCTATTTGAATCTATATTCAAATTTGCGTTCAATGTTAAATGCGAGCGTCTTCTTTATATTTTTCTATATATTATTGTATGAATAAAAAAAATGTGCAGCCATTAGAAGAAGAGATGAAAAAAAAATCAAATACAGCAAGGTCACCAACTCAAATGCTCTATCACATTTCGAAGTAAAAGCAAAATTAATGTAAAATTCACCTTGCTATTGTTGGCAATTTTTTTTGTTGGCATGGATTAACTTGGTTGGCTCCGGTCGTATGTTTTTGTTCTTCGAATTCGAAATGCTACAACGACAATAGCATTCGCCTTTGTATTATTCATTGTTTTCTTTTTCTCGCTTTCATCTAACATCAAGTTAAATGGTCGCGCATACACACACACACACATAAAACTGTCCGCATTATGTTTAGAGTGTGATTTTTATTCTAACTAGATCGTGGCTAATCCATTTTTCTTTTTTGAAAGTTCTTTCAAGACGTGCACAACATGGTGTAATATATTTTTTTCAGCATTTTTGTTTGTATTTTCATTTTTGTGCTCTTACCTTTTCATCACGAACAAAGATGTTGACGCCACTTGGCTCTGGTGCAATGAGCGCTGATTTTGAAGAAAAAAAACCGAATTAACACACATAAGCTCTTACAGTTTGTTTGCATTCTGTTTTTGTTGTTGTTTTTCTTCTTCTGTGTCCGTTTTGCTTTCATTAGATTATGTTACGCTACTGTTTCGCAATCAATATATTTGCTAGGGTGAATGTCTTGTGTTGTTCTTTTTTTGGATTCGGGACATTGAAAGAATAATTGCATTTGATGACCAAATTATAATGTTGTGGATTTTGAATTCCTTGTATTCTTTGTTTTCACATTTGTAATTTTCACCGTTGAAATTTTGTTCTGAAACAATTTTTTTTTTCATTGCCATCGATAATAAAATTGCGTAGACAAATAAAGAATAAGCAAGCATTTGAATGAGTTCAGAAAGAAAAATGAGAACACCCGATATGAACTACACATTCTTACACATTCATAGATAAGATATTTTATTAGAGAGAGATGCAAATAGCAAGTCGAACGAGATGTTGGCGAATTGGGAAAAATAAACAGAAAAGTTAATTGAAATTGTGAACATATCCTTGAAGAGTCGAACAAAATTACGATTGTGTCACCATGATGAAATGTCTTCAATCTAACTTTGTTCTCACATTAAATGCTATTTATTTGCAACTTACTCTAAATGATGTTGCACATTTAATTAAGTATAGTATGAAGGCGACGATGATGATAAAGCTTTTCATCGCGTTTTTTGTGTGTGTGTGTTTGCGCATGTGAATACAGAATGATCTCTCTCTCTCTCTCTGTTTTCCACGAACCACATTGTGGAAATAGAAGTGAACGCGTGCTTTATACGCTTCCAACTTCATTTTCCCGGACATAAAGTTTCGTAAGTCTGGTATTAGTTCAAGAATGAAGAAATGCGAAAAAATATGACGATGAGGTTGAACGCTTGATGCAGCCAGCCAAGGTGGATAAACGAAAATGCCAACAAATTAGTAGCAAGCACAATAATTTCATGGAAAACTTTCTTAATGATATAAGATGAACGAGAAGCTCAAATTCTATCTCTGTTGCTTTGGCTCCAAGGTACTTTCTCTGTACTGTTTTTTTTGTGTTCAACTCTTTGTATCACACGCTATCAACAGAATAATTCAATGCGCACTCGAGAGCGATCTCGTTCGTTTTTATTTTCTCGTTGAATGCAGTTCAAGTATATTACACCCAATGAGTGACATAAACTCTACCGTGCCGAACTGCATCAATTAGCTACATGGGTTATTTAATCCCAACTGTGCATTTCAAATTATGTAAATAGATCCAAAAGTATGTTTAGCGGAAACAACAAAAATAAACACCAATCTAATGAAAAGAACTATGGTTTCCTCTGGAAAACTTTGCCACCGCATTATATATTTGCAAGAACTTCCGTTCATTCGGTGTTGGTTAAGCGTGCTTTGCAACCGATAATTCGATAAGTTCAGTGTGAGAAAATCGTTAAGTCAATTTTAAGCGTGAACATGGAAAAAGAAGAGAATGAAATAAAAACCGAACCGAACACTTGTGTGTTGTGTCTTCAATCTAACTAAGCTCACATTTAAATTGTATAATGTTACACAATATGTTTGTGTAGGTTTTTCGCCGAACTACCTATTCATTGCTGGGAGCTTTGTCCCTTTTTTTTCTTCTTCGACTTTTAGTATCAACAGTTCATACAAAAATTCCTTTTCAAATGAAAACACAATGAAAATGGCATGTCAAGTTGACGCCCACAATTATAAAATTTGTACATTCAAATTGTGTTTATTTATGGATTGACAAAAAAACAACAACAAAAAATGAATGTTTTTTGTCCTTTACTTTACTGATAAAAAAGAAGCATCTCAATAGTTGAATTTCGCGCACTCAGCTGTTCATAGGCTTCGCAAAAGTCACACCAAAATACAAAAGGCATAAACATTAACATTTGCACACATTAAATCACTGACATTTTGATTTATACAAAGTCTTTGGGGTATGCGTTAACTGTTTGCTGTTAACGATATGCCCACTTCACTCTTTAAGCCTTATATATTTATATATCACCCATCATCAACACCATCACCACCACCATCACCAGTATACAATGACCGAAAAAGGCCAATCAAATTAATGATCAACTTATTGCTCGTTGACCATTAATTTTATTCGATAAACGAGATGTTATTTTTCGATCGTGATATTTATAATCAGTTTTACCGCTAATTTTCCGGATGACTGTGTGTCTATGAATGTGTTCACAAAACATTTATTTTCATTTGATTTTATTGGATGTGAACCGAAAAGAAATATGTTATGATAATAATGTTAATTATTATGCGACGTTTAAAATCCACTAAGCACATTATGATAATAAATCAAATTTGTTTCTTTAATAAATTTTAATTGCTCCTATTTATTTTATCATTCTCTCTCTCTCTCTCTCTCTCTCTTTCTCACTTTCTAGTCTTCGCATTATGGCCCCTTCATCAATTGTTAAATAGATTCTGTGATAATCATTGAATGGACTATTGGTATGTGAATAGCGGTGACGGCATTAATAACGGAATGGATGCAAAACCAAAAATAAATCGTCGAAAATTTATGGTATTTCAATACGAATCGAAAACGAGCAAAACATCCCATTCAATATTAATAACTAGAAAATATTCAAAATGAATTATACAAATACGGCAATCAACCATATAGACGGCTATAGCGGTAACAATATTACCGGAAACAGTTCCAATTACATATTGGAATCAAGTAGTAACGATAGTGCAACAACACTCGCATCAGCCGTTGTATCGAATGCCATTCATTTCGTTCAGAATGCATTCAATTCCACAAGAAAATATGATGGAAACGCAACCGACGACAAAAATATCAATGTCACCGATGCAGAACTACATGATTTCGTATTAAAACTACTCGAATACAATCAGTTCAATTTAAGCACCGATAATGAATCAGTCGCATGCGAACACTATTGCAACGGTTTTGTCAAAGATGTATTCAGTAATTACAAACGGATGCATGGTTACATATCATTAGCGGTAAGTGAATTAAACACAAATTGTTGAAATAACACACGTCAACATTTTCGAATGATGATTGTTTAATTTTTTTACTCCTGCAAAGATTTGCATATTTGGAACAATTGCAAATATACTGAATATCATTGTGTTGACGCGAAAGGACATGAGTAAAACGCCGATAAACACAATACTCAAATGGTTGGCTGTTGCTGATATGTTTCTAATGATCGAATATATACCATTTTCAATTCATATGTACATCGGACCAAGTGAGTGTTTTCTATCTTAAAACAAAAAAAAACATACAATTTTCTATTTCCAATGTGAAACATTTCAATTTTTGCTAATTTTATTTCTCAAATTGTTTGTTACAGGACCCGTTGGTTTTAAATATTTATGGTCGGTGTATATTTTGTTTCATATGCATTTCACACAAATTTTGCACACAATATCGATATCTCTAACAGTGATTCTGGCACTTTGGCGCTACATTGCAATTAAGTAAGTGAATAAATTTTTGTCAATTTTGTCTCTCATTCCATTCATAATCTGCACACACAGTAGGTGTGTATGTAATAATATTGTTGATATATCGTCGGCAGTTCGATACAATGTATTTTAACGAGCACAGCACAGCAACAACGATCTGTGTCGTTTTATTGTATCCAGAACAAGCAACGATAATTTAATTACCTGGTAGTTCGTTTTTAGCATTATAATGCAAAATCAACGATTTTACTACCAATTGTTGTTGTTGTTGGTCGTGATGATGTTGCTGTTGCTGACTTTCCTCATTTTCACAAACCGGCGTTTACATGCAATTTTGCAGGCTAAAGCAAAGTGAAACATCCAATTCTTGTCGAAATCATTTAATTTAGTGATGGCATTCTCAGCTTGTATATTTACATCACAGTCACTTTCAATCAGATTCGTTAAGCTGCTCGAGGTTGGCAGTGGTTTGGTGGTAGTTTATCGTGTTCATAAAGCAGACACACAAACATACAAACGACCATGCACGCACACAAAGCAAACTGATACAAAAACAATGCCATCAAAAGCGATTGCTTTTACTGAACTTAACCTTTTAAATTAAATAAATGTTAAATAATCAATTAACTGCACGTTTTAATGATGATTTTTACATGAATCCAAGGCTAATATGAGCACAATCTGAACACACCATACATTTTGTAACATTTGCTTGACTGGGCCATTCCATTCCATTCCACAAAATCAATGTGAAATATGCAATAGCAGCTGGAGCGAAAATGTATAGCAAACAACAACATCAACCACTGCCAATGTCAATTGTTTTCTTTTTAAATCAATTCACATCATGAGCGATCAACAAATTAACTGTATTCTGTTGATGATTCTGTTCCCTTTCATTTTCGGATTTTCTTTGAGCGTATGCTTGAAATCTTCTTCCTAATTAATCTATTATTGATGGAATAATAACACGAATTCATTTATTCAATTTCTCTTTTCATCTGATTTTTGTGTGTTCACTGCATCACCACTGCACATAATTGAGTTCAATTATTTTGACGTGTACTGCGTGCTGTGTATGTATGTATGTGTGGGGGCGACTGAAAGAGAAAATTGATTCTAGCACCGCATCAACCAGATTTAAATTGGCGTCATCAATTTAGTCAATGACTGCGGCCACTCAGTATATTCCGTGCTCTTTGTTGCTCTTTCACTCTCACCCTCTCTTTTAACGTATTAAAACAAATCAAATGAAGTCAATACTTACGTGTTACTGTCGATTTTAATCGAAAGCAACGTGTGACTGGCGTTACCAAATTTCTACCCGGTGTGCAGCGGTAACGAGCGTTAATTAATCGAATTTACCGTGTGTGGCAAATTCAAATAAAATTCGCCAAGCTTGAACGCGTGTATTCAGATTTACTCGCTTGCCCACGAGCTCAAATTTATCGCTTGTAATAAAATTGGATAGCACAAGTGGATTATCGCCAACATCTAACATTTAACATTTAATGGCGAATCAAATTTGGTACGCTATCGTAATTATTCAATCTCTTTTCACCAACCGATATTCAATTCAATAATAATAACATTGTATAAATGATTAAAAGTCTCTGTCAAAAGCAAAAATTTATAAACCAAAAATATTGTTTGTATTTATTTTATTCAATTCATTATAGGCATCCGCATGGAAGACTAGCATCTTGTGTATTATCGCATTGTGGCGCAGCTATATTATTATCATTTTTGCTTGCACCGATTCTTTGTTTACCGACGTACTTTGTATTTCGTATAAACGAGAAAGTCATCTTTTCGGATAAAATCACCAAAGTCACGGTTTACCACGTGGACACGAAACAAGATACAATACTATACAGGTAATTTGAATGTAATGTGTCTCTCGATTGAAGTTGTGAAGTAAGAGTTCGAGCTTTCCATGTGGTTTTTGTGCATGTGCGAATAAAATTAATTTTCGTTGCCAAGTCATTTCTGGTAATTGCATGTGCACATGTGTATCAATTTACCCTTGAAAATTATACCAATGCCAGCGTTTTCATCTAATTCGTTGGTACATGTCAAAAGCTTCTTTGCCATAAACCGCATATGTTGCGTGTGTATGGTTCAAATTATAAATTGCATCATAATTGCGGCTCATACACAAAATACGTTAATCCAAACAGTTTCAAAATATAAACAACGCAATGTAGGCGCACATTGTGGTTCCTTCATGTGATTATCTTCTTATCTTCATGTGAATGATGCAAAATAAAAAAAATTGTAAGAAGAAATAATCTATTTATTATGCGAACTACGTCATACGAGTTTTACTTCCAATAACAACAATTCACACTTTTATATTTTCCCGTTTTTTTTATCGTTCGGTATCTTTGGCACAATCACTAACAGGTTCAAATTTGCTAATTTATGGATGTTATCAAAAGGACAAAAATTTTATAATTAAAACATCACATCGAAGAATTTTCACACCAACGCTACCGCTGCTGCTGCTGTTGTTGTCATAATAATAATTGTAGCAGAACGAAAGATACGTGCACGCATTGCAGTTGACATTTCAAACGGCGAAAAATGATTTGATTTTACATTTTCATTGTTTTTTTTTTTTTTTTTTTTTTTTGTTTAAAGTGACGATTTTCACACCTCTCTTCATTCGGTATATTTTCTTATCATGGTTGTTGTTCATTTCGTGATGCGTCTATAAATCAAGCTTAAATTTGCAATTTATCGTTGTCTTTATTTCAATTCTGTGAAATGGTAGATATATACGCAAAAATACCTTGGATTTGATTAATTTCGGATTTGTCTGGGATCGATGCGCCACGAATACGTGTCAATATTCAATTTAGAACAAAACACAAAACATGCACACATCCAAACACAAAATACCTCTTCATATTCAGGTCGCTCGCGGCAAACATTTACACAAGCATCACACAGCGGGTGACGCGATCGAACGAAATTTACCCTTGGCCCTGTATGTGCGCGGGCGGAACGGAATGGTGTTTTACCGTTAGAATTCCGTTTGTAATGTATATCTCTCTATTTCCATGTACTATGAACGCTGTTTGATTTCAATATATTGATTTGCAGTGCATTGCAACAATAGCGTTTTTTTTGCACAAAAATAAAAAATATGTGAATCTGCACTTGATAAAATACCGGATTTTTTTTCTCTTTATTTTCACTTCTCTTCCCTTTCATGTATAATATCAATAGTATCAACTTTTGGCTCTTCAGTGTGATAATCAAACTCCTGCCTTGTTTGGTATTAACAGTAATCAGTTTCATATTAATTCGAGTCCTATATCAAGCAGCAAAGCGAAAAGTTAAACTCAAGGGATACAATCAAGCGGCAAGCACATCAAATATAAATACAGTCAAAATTTTAAATGGCCACAGGTAATGATTTTTTTTTTTGAAAATTTTTTTGTTTTTTTTTTATTCTGAGTTACCTCTGTTTTGCTATTTGAAAAGAGCAACAATGCAAACATTAATTGCATTTTTCGTTTCGAGCGCAATTAGTCATTTTACATTGAAGCAAATTCAAATGGGACAATTTTAAGAAGTTCTTGCGATCGAGTTTGACTTCTGAGTGAAATTATACCATTATTTTTGATTTGTTTTGCATGCTTCCGTCGTTGCTGCTGTAATTTTGATACCATACGATGCGGTTTGGAAATTTAAAATTGAATATGAACTGGACACTGGCCAGACCATCAAAGTGCCAACGACGTACCGATCGAACAACAATGCTGTTGGTGGCTGTGCTAATGCTATTTCTAATCACCGAATTCCCACAAGGCATTCTTGGTTTATTGAGCGGATTGCTGGAAACGTGCTTCTTCCGAAAATGTTATATACCGTTCGGTGAAATGATGGATTTGTTGGCTTTAATAAATGCGGCTGTTGGCTTTGTGCTCTATGGTCTAATGTCGAAACAATTTCGTACGAGTTTTAAATCGGTGTTTTTTAATAAGCGTCTGTCCAGACTAGAAATGACGAGAGTCACTAATCTAAATAATACGACTTGCGTTTGACGACGAATAAATTTCGGTTTATTTATTGTTACTTAGGCCAGGCTGTAATTGGACAAAGAAATAACGGATGGGAGAAAGAGAGAGCGGGGGTGGGAGAAAAATGTATAAAAACAAAAATATAAAATAAACATGCACAAATGAAAGAAAAACAACAACAACAAAAAATGCCAAGATAATATTCAACAGTCGATCGAAGACTTATGAGTCTTCATGGAAAAGGAAACAAACGAGAGAAAAAATGCCATTGACATTCGTCGTCGACCCATTTGATACAAATGAGAGAATAACAACAGTGTGCAAACGGCAAAAGGTCACACTTTAAAACAAGAAGAAGAGTTTTCCACTCATGTAAACCAAATAATTGTGTACAGAATATTAGAATTAAAAGGCACTGGCTATTTTCACTCAAATCTCTACAAAATAGGAATAAAAGTGATAATACCGAAACGAATTCTGAACAACGTAGGTAAAGCTTTTTTTATTTACTAATGTTTCATGAAACGTTTACAATTTTGTTCGATGGCATCACCAAAGATGCTAGTGATCTTTATATTCTGGTAGTTTGTTTTCGTTGAGCTGAAATTATGGGTAAAATTCGAAGTGAAAATGCTTGTTAGAATAACTCGTGAAACGTGCTGGTAGAGTAAGTTGACCTGAAGCGCTTGCAGCAGTAGTTGGTAATGCTAAAATAAAAAGGGTCATTCATTTGAGAACGAAATTTTTGTGTCGAAAAATATATCTGATAGCGATCGACTCTGATTCCTAATTGGATCACGACCAACATAAAATTAATATTCAAACATTTTAGAAAACGTTCTTTATTAAATTATCATGACGGATAATTGAAATTTGAATCGTGCGCGACAAAATTTACACGTACCGTGTAAATTGTGTTATTGTTTTATTAACACACATAGCTACTTTGTAGAAATTTGAGTGTCAAAAAAATGTGCCAACAATTGCAACGAAATGGCTACTACATGTACTATCTATTCAAAACAAATTGAACGTGACGTACTCTATATTTTTATCTCTATTTACAACACACATGCTCAATGCTTTTGTTCATCAAAAAAACACACTCAAACTTGTTTATGCATAATTAGATATTTTTTTTGAATTTGCTATCTACGTTACAGAAAATGCAAATAAAAAACGAACAAGCACCACAAAATAGCATATTGGTCAGATGTTACCAATGAACGGCGAACAAGTGACAACAACATGACAACCCTCAAAAGCCGCACCATATCACATCGCCAGAAAAAAAGGAAAATGCTGTGTCCGTACAATTTTATTCGATTTTTATAAAATTAAACACGTTTCATGTTCCACTCTAATCGATTTATTTCGATTTCAGTGTTGTCATTTGATACTTAAACATGTTTGTGACGCAAAAAAAAAATGTTTTTTCGAGAAAAATTCTGAACACACACACGACTCACGAAAATATAAAATTGAAACAATATCCCCACAGAAATCAATAAAAGAATACAGACAATATATTGAATTAACTGGTCAGTTGAGCTGACAGTACGTTAGCCAGCTAAATGGGCTAAAACAATAGAAGTTATTTGATGATGAATCACTTTTCTTGTTTTCATTAAAACAATAACTTCTATTGTTTTAGTCCATTTAGCTGGCTAACGTACTGTCAGCTCAACTGACCAGTTAGTTCAATATATTGTCTGAAAGAATATAAAAAAAATACAAAAACATAATGATAACAATTGACAATATTAAAAATACGAGCGGCACACACAGAGGAAAAGAGAGTCCACATCAGAACATAGCACATCTATTATAGCGAATCATTCGCATGCTGAGTAAAATGCATGCATCGCATTCCATAGACAACCATTGAACAATATGATTAATCAAATTTGACATGTTAGGAATAAATCGACTGAAAAAATGACTACATAATGTTGTATGACACAAACAAAATTCCAAAACGCACCCGACCACCATCGAGATTGTAAACATTCTAAGTGGAGGAATTGGTGCCGATGGCGATGATGTTGTTTGTATTTCTCTAGTTCTCTCTCTCTCTCTCTCTCTCTCTCTCTCTCTCTCTCTCTCTCTCTGCATTGATTGAAAAGATGGGGTTGATCTGACTTATACTTTTATTTTTGTGAAATTTTCTTTTGACAAAACAACCGCATAATTAGAAATGAGTCTGCTTTAATCAAACATCAAAAACCATTCACCTAAAAGCTTTTTGCTGCGAACACAAAGTCAAGATGAAAAGAAGAAAAGAAATTCAAGAACACTAACCCAAAACATCAAAATGTCATGTAAAAAAAGCCCTCCCACTGTTGATTTCGTAGCAACTTATCAAAAAGCGATTACGATGCATGTCGATGCGATGCGATGCGCACTGAAAGAACTTATGCAAATTCATATTATTATCATCAATTTGGATCATTTATCTTTCATAGAGAGAGGTTTCGGTTTTTTTTTTATGTTCCACTCATCCTCAAACACGTATCATTCTTCTCTAATGAATGAATGAGAACAAAAAGTGCTACGTACACCATCGACATCAACACCATCATCATATTCATCGAGAAGGTTCATTGTCGCAAACAAGTGAACGAGCGAACACGTTTCTTCGAGAGCATAGATTATTAATTGAACGCTTTTCCAAAAAGTTTTCAGTCTTCATTTTATGTTCTTTTAATGCAACTTTTTGTCAGCGACACTAAGAGAAGTGCTCTCTTTCACACACACACACACTTACAAATTCTTATTTCTCATTTTGCTTCCGACCAAAAATACAGCAAGAAAAAAACGAGAACTAAAATTGATGAACAAAGCAAAAGAACAATTGCAAGTAGATGTTGTACATACAGAGAGAAAAAGAAAGAGAAATTCTAAGTACAAGAGTATGATTTGAATTATTAAATTTTCGGGTCATTAAGCGATCGTTGACATTTATTATTATTACAATGAATCATTTGTAAGGAGTAGAATTATCAACATACACATATACATAACGTGTAGGGAAAAAAACCCAGCAACAACAAACTATATGACGATATGTGTAAATGATCGGATACACAGGAATTTTAAGACTTGTACATATAGAATGAATTATATTGAAACAAAGCAGAAATGTCATTGTGATTTTGAATTTAGTGTAGAAAAAAGAAGCCAACATGTAATAAGAACATCGAACAAAACAATTAAACAAAAATCGATTCATTGTCGCGAATGAAGCAGAAAAATTACCCGATGTATCATCATTATTCGTCAAACATTAAAATCCGAGCCCTGAACAATGTGCAATACGAGGTGAACGGTTACACATTCAACTAACGATATGCTTGAATTTTTCAAACGGTAGAAACTAATTTGCCATTTTGAGAGATTTTCATCGTCGTTCTTGTTGAACGTGAACGTTTTGTGTGCGTTTATATTATTTTTCATTCAACCAGAAAATTTCAAAATATATGTTCGTTCAATCCCGGCTAAAATTGGTTTATGTTGATGTCAGAAGGGTAAGACACAACCAAAATCAATGAACCGATATTTGATTTAACATCAATGAATAAAAGAGCTTCATACTATTAATGTTAAAATTAAGTTTTCAATCAAACATTGTAATCAATTAGATTCGATTGTGGGTGGCAATCGATGTTAAAATCAATTTGTAAATACACATATACATAGCTATGAGTTAATAATGTTCCTTAATTTAAAATAGCTGTTGTGAATTTTATTGCATTTCGAATAAGAGAGCCCCACGAAATGTATGTAAATTTTACAAGGATGTACACACACTTGAAAATTGCTTGACCAATAAGCAAGAGATTTGTATAGCGAAGGTATCAGACGAAAAACCATCTTACTTATTAAGAATGTCTAATATAATTAATTACATTTCGGAATGCAATTAATTTCAATTATGCCACTGAAATTCCGCAATTCCGTCGAAGTAATTTTCCTTTGTAACCTTCGTGACCGATGATTATGTGTCAAGCAATTTTTGCCCGTAGTCATTTACATTGTATTTTCCATCAATTAAGTCAAATTAATTCGTATAATTGTGTAAGAAAATGAATTCACTTTTAAACATTTTGTTATATATATATGTATCATTATTGATAGAGGAAGGGAGATAAAGAGAAACAGAAACATTTATTCATCTATATCGATTTTTACGTACGATTAAGAAATTATTTATATATTGGCAATTAAGAAAATCATCATTATTTGTTGTGTTTATGCGTCGCAATTTTACGTGTTTTCTTCGTATTAAATATTTCTTCATAACAAATGGCAAATGAACATTTACCACTGTCAACAAATTGAACAACTGTATATGCCCGAGGCATAGTTTTTTAACAGTGCAATTATCAGTCGTTCTTCTTTTTTTTTTTTAAATGATAAAAGATGGTAAGATAGTTTTGATGATATGAATAAAAAATTCGCATATTGCATCTTTCACTCAATTTATTTCTAAATGCGGTTGCTTTAGCTTTCTTAAATTTTACATGTAGTAAAAGCAACCCTTATATATACATATAAAAATAAAGGAATGAATGACTAAAGCAATAGCTTCTAATACCTAACTGCTGCTCTTGTTTATGGAAATTTCTGTAGGAGAGAGCAGAAGATGAGAGACAAAATTGCGGGTTAAGTAAAATTTTCAAAGTCATTTTCATTTCCACTCACACACATCTATATGAATTTGGTGACCGTTTCATTTCGATTGTTCGTAGCACCAATGTACAAGGTAACGCAAAAATTGTTAAATTGTCAAATATAAAATGGAAAAACTTAATAAGATTTTTCATGCTGATTTCTGTGTGAATAAGTTTCACATAAAGTTCGGACCCATTTTATCAATGTGACATATAAACATGGTCAAAAAAACAATATTATTATATTTTTTTATTTCGGGTTAACTTTTTTTGTGAAAGTGAAAATTGCTAGTATTCGAAATTTTTATTCTTCACCATGCCGATCTAATATAGTATATATAATGTAATATGTGCGCTTGAAATCGTAAACGATTTAAATATTTATTCCCATTTTTGAATCATTAAAAAGTGATTGACAATGTGAAACATTTGGCAGACCAACGAATTCTTTATAAAGAACGGGAGCAAAAATATTTGAAAAAAAAAAAAAAAAAATCAAGTTTCAAACGAAAATATGTTGAACACTTGAGTAAAAATCTATTTGATAGAATAAATTGAGTAACAGCTCCGCATGCATTTCAAATTTAATTCGATAAATAACACTGTGATCCTTTTTTCTTCTCTCGCATCATTGAACTCTCAGTTTTCAGCATAAAACATACATTTTTGACATACAAAAAATTTGAATGAAATTTGAAATTGCACCCACACACAAACACACCGATTTTTGGTGTAATTGATGTGACTAATGTGACATATTTTCAAAGCATTTTTCATGAATAGATGGTATTTTTTTTTAAAAGATTTTATTTAACAAAAAAACTTTATTTAATTTGAGAATAAATTATTTGTAGTCAAGAAAAACCATTTGACTGTTTTATTTTTACCAACTTTTTTGAAGCGGCATTGACTGTGGACACATGATAAGTATGTTCGTAGTGAACTGGTAAGTTTCGAGGATATGTACTGTATGGTATACCAGCTGCCATAGAAACATGTGTCGTAAACAAAAACAAAATCAACTTAAACTCAGTCGCACACAACATAAACATAACTGTTGAGCTAGTTCAAAGTGGTCAACTCATACAATTTTTTTACCCCATTCTGTGTATGGACATTTTCGACTTTATTCTTTTATTTTCTTTTTGATTACGAAAAAACAACTTGATAGATATGAACGCAAAGATTTATTGTGAACAAAAATAAAGACATTGATTTTATTTATGTTGGTGTTTTTTTGTTTGTAGGGAAAAGACAATATGGCATGAAATAAATTTGGCGAATTTGTTTATTGAAGTGAAACTTTAAAAAAATATGTACCATTGAATACTGTGAAATAAACAGAGACGATAAAAAGAAAACAAAAACGTTGGAGACGAGAAAAGAAGAAAAATCTTGAGTATATCAAAGAACATGGATAATAATATTGTGTGCAATGGTCGATCGAATCCAATGATGTCGAATTCAGCGCCGAATAGAGGTTCGTATCTATCCAATTTGGATAAAGTCAAGAAGTATTTTCTTTTCATTTCATTTGATGATGGTGGTGGAGGTGGTTGTTGTTTTTGGTTTTTATTTTATCATATCGATATCAAAATTGAATCACAAATCTCTTCATTTCATGTGATATGCACGTCATCAAATCAATGTCTAATAAAACTGAATTGGATTATTTGAAATGTGCATCAATATTTCTTTTGTTTCTTTTCTTTTTGGATGGTTTCGTTCGTCTTTGTGTTTGGTGGGTGTATGTTGGACGTTGGTACTCTTCAGATGCGCGGAATAACGGTACCGCTAACCATTACAAAACAACCATAGACCTGGCTATGATACCGAATTTGAATTGGTTAATCCACATGGCCTTTGTGCGACAGGACTATAAATACTGTAACGAAGTCATTGAATATCAATTCAATGAAACATACGACCATGAATATTTGTATTACATTAAGGTAAAACAAAAATATGTCTATATCTTACTTTCACACTTTATTGGCCGATGCTCATGTCTACTGGCAATTGGAAAGCATATTCTTCTTTCGATTGCACCGCATCATAGACATTTGTTGTTGCCACTTGCGATAGCAATAACAGCATCAATAGCACCACAAATGGCAAATTAAATTGATTTATTGATGCAAACAGACAAATGGTTAAAACGTAATATAGCCATTGTATTTGCGATTTGGCATGTTTCAATGTAAGTAATATTTAAACAAATGGCTTTTCTCTTTCTCTCTTCCTTTTTTCTGTGCTCCTTTTGTCTCTCCTCTTTGTTCGTGTGATGGCTTTTTGTGTAGGGTTTGATTGCACGCACCGAAGGTAACTTACAGGAATCATTGCAGTACTTACAAAAGGCCATTGAATTTAATCCAAATAATCTAGACAATTCGAAAGAGATTGCAAAAACATTGTAAGACGGTTTGTTATCCTTATTATTTGTCAACTTTTAATCGAAATTGATTGTTTGCATTTTTATTTTGTTGTACGTGTCGCACGTTTGATGGACACCCAGATATGCCATGGAACGCTACAAACAGGCTTTGGAAATCTTTGTAAAAATTGATAAAACTTCACCGAACGGTGACCACGAAGTTTGCTATTACATTGGTAAATAGTACATTTAAATTGAAAAAAACTTCGATTTTACTTGAGAATTCATTAAAAATAGAAGAATTTGTATAGACTTGTTTTGAAGATTTAAATATTTGCACATAAAATGTGTGAAATCAATCCTTTTTGTTTTTATTATATAATTGTATGGTAGGCGATCTATTATATCGAAAGTGCAATCGTATGCAAGTGGCTGTGTCCGACGAAGTAAAAGAGTACTTTCATCGTGCCGTTCGAGATGGCAAGCAATTAGAAAGCTATGCTCTACTTGCAGAAATCTATAAAGCTGAAAATAATGTGCCCAAAGCAATTGAAATGCTTGAAAATGTCAGACAGTAAGGACAAAAAAAAAGAATAAGTCCATGACACATTAAAAATTGTATTTTTTTTTTTGGTATTTATATGAAAATTTCCTTTTTTTTCCTGACAATATTCCAGAATAACAACCGAAAACATTGATATTCTAACGGAAATTGGGATTTTATATTTACGAATCAATGATACAAAAGGCGCATTCGACAAATTATTCGAAGTGACCAAATTACATGAGAACTGCCCGAAGGCACTTTTGGCACTTGGATCTATTTTGCAAGTATGAAATAACCATGGAAATAACACACAAATGTTACACAATGAATTGGCAAAACTCAATTTCAATGGTAGACCGAAATGGAATGGTTATGGTTTTCGATTTTTTTTCTTCTTTTGTTTCTTAAAATTGTGTATGAATATAGTCAAAAAACGATGTGGATGGTGCGCTCAACAAGTATAAACTTATCGATACGGATAACCAAAAAGGTGCCGAAATATGGAACAATGTTGGACTATGCTTCTATAAAAAGAAGAAATTTATAGCGGTATTTATTTTGATTTTTGATTTTCATATCTCTATTGACCGTCTCGCCTTCGACGCAGCCACCAATGTATGTGCAATTCAAATGGTTTCATTTTTATTTTGATTTTCTTTAGGCGATATCCTGCTTAAAAAAGGCCGTATGGCTTGAACCAACCAATTTCAATTGTCTATTCAATTTGGGACTCATCTATTTAACAGCCCAACAATATGCGAGCGCATTCCATACACTAGCTGCTGCTGCATGCATTCGATTAGATAACGCTGAATGCTATATGTTGCTGGGAGGTAAGAATATTCACACTGAGAGAGAAAGAGAGAGAGAGAGTGAAATTCTAAAAATCTACTTTGTATTATGGAAAATAATTTTCGATTTGGTTGTGAATTTTCTTCAACATTATAGTTTGCTTGAGAAATTTGAATGACCATGGTAATGCATATTTGGCCTTTGAGCGTTCGGTTATCCTGCCAGATGCTATCAAAAATCCATTAATTTATTTGAATTGTGCCCTGTATAATATGCAAATGAAACGATATGAGGCGGCAGTTCCAAACTTGAGCAATTTCTTCAGCATTGCTGAACATATAAACGTTCGACATGAAGTAAGTTTCACGTCTATGCTAACCAGAGCGAGAAAATTGAATGGTATTTCCCATATGGAATATCTCGATATGTGCCGTCCCTGAATTCGTGCGAAATTTATGTAAACAGGAAGAAAACCGATGAAATCAGAACATGACGGTATCGCTCTAAGCAAATTAAAATATCTCGCACTGATTATGTATAGCACTTTTTCTGATGCTATATTTTATGAGCGTTGCGATAATAATTTGTTCATAATCCATTATTTAATTTCAAGCATAAAGCATTGGCGGAAAAAATGAAAGAATTTCTACCGCATCCAAGTGTTTCAAATAGCGAAGTTGAAGTGGAATATTCAACCGAAAAAGGAGGCCCGGTTGAAGCAAACGATATTGAAGGTGGCGGTGAAGCAATGGCAGCTGCACTTGATGAACATGAAAATTTAGTGTAACACCATTTTACTATCAAATAGATGAATTTATCTCGTAATTTATAGACCAAACACACGAACAACTCAAATGAGACACAATTTTTCTCTTGCAAATTGTTAACTAAATGGTTTTTCAATTTTTATTTTATAATTAAGGGGGATGGTTTGGGATCGAGGAGTGGGTTTTGTATTTATAAAGACAAAACAAAATATTTATTTTCTTAGAAAAGAACGTTTATGCATATTTAAGACAAATTTTTTCTTTATCCTTTCTTTTATCATCATGTTTTCAACTAAATACAACAATTTTTTTTTCGAAATTTGATCCGTTATTCAATACCTATTCTGATATTTACTCCTTTCTTTTAAGTGCTAGTTTGCATTATCTCTCGCGCTTTCTCTTTAACTCATCTTACAATAGATTTATTAAAAATTAATTAAAATACAACAAGGATTCCTTTGCGTTCATTCTTTGTGTTTTTTTTTCTTTTGTTTTCTTTGTTTGTAATAAGACACTACGAAAAATAATTTTATAAAATTAATCGATGACAAATTTCCAACTAGAAATGTTTTTGAAAAGAAAGAGCGACTTTTTTTGTTGTTGAATAAAACATGTATCGAGTGTAAAATATGTTTTGTTTTGTTTTTTCTCGTTTACTTTCGACAAGTCCATTTCGGTCCGTTGATGTGTCCGTTTTGTGTGATTCGGAATTCTGCTTTCTTGTTTCTTGGAACAATAAGTATGTTTGTGATATCTCTGTCCGTCTCTCTCTATCTCTCTTTTTCTTCAATACGGCCGTGTTTCGTTCATTTCGTACAAAACTTGTGCGATAGTCCGGCTTGATTCCACATTGCTTAATGCTACGCTAGACAAATGCGGCTCGTAATACCGTAAACATCTAAATTCAATCAAATTGGCGTAAATAGACAAAACCAAAGAAAATCGAAGGGAAAAGAAGGGAAAAAATGTGACTAATAAATAAAATGACCTTTTTTGGTGTGCATCATATAATATTCAAGATGATTTCATTGATTATGCTGGAAATAAAATACGGTCCCATATATACATACCGTTTTGCTGTTGTTGTATAATTCACAAGATTTCGTAGAATTAATGAAGCTGTCAATCTGATACTTTTTGTCACCGGACCCTCGTTTTCATCCTGAAACTGTTTCCATATGCGATGACGATTTTTCATTGAGAAACGCAAAACGAGAAAAAGCGAAAAAGAGAAAGAAAAAAGCTTGAGTGTGTGTTGACATTTAATTTCTTGGTGTAACGAAACACCACGTGTTGTCATTGTTAAACCTACCATAAGCTCTTTTGGATTGATGAGGTCTATTGAATGTCGTTTGATGGCCTGCATGGCTGCGCTACTTCCGGCTGATAATGAACTTGTTGATGACGTGGACAGTGTTGGTGATGCCGTGCCACCAGCATTATCATTGGTATTTGGTGGCATTGGTTTTTTAATTATAGTTACGGGTTGAGTTACAGATGTTTGTGGTCCATTTGCGATGCGTCGTTGTACGGCCGTTTTAAATGAATCCAATGTTATATGACGATCATTGATGTGTGTCATTAGTGAAAATCGTTTACGTGGCAAATTATCGCAGAGATTTGGTCCAGGGCCCCATTGACAATAGATATCGGCATTTGGATCGATATTATCTGGACAATGTTCGGCACATGCATGCAAATACACTTCGTTCGCTGAACGGAATTTTCTTCTACAGAAAAACGAGAGACCAAATCATAGAAAGAAAAAAAAAACAAATCAATCGATTTCATTTGATATACATAAATCACAATGATTGCATGTGTATTTGAATTTTTACCGTTGACATCCACGCCAATCGCACACATACAACCAATTAACATCGATTTCATCTTCGATTTTCACGGATATTTGATTGGATGGCTCGGACTTGATTGGCTGTTGAACATTGAGCGGTGGCGCTTGCGAAGGAGCAACTGACTTTGATGGTGTCATATTCGATTGTTGTTGCTGCGATAGTGGTAATTGATTCGTTATTGTGGGTGCAGGTATCGATGATTGAGTTGGCACCGCACTTACAATTTGATGTTGATGTTGTTGATGCTGTTGATGTTGTTGATGCTGTTGATGTTGCTGATGTTGTTGAACTGGCTTCTGTATCACCTGATTGTGTTGAGAGCGGAAGTGAAGGATGGAAAATAACATGAAACATTCTTTTGACTGATTGAATTATTGTTCATTTATACTTACGTTCGATGTTACATTTGGCGTTAGATTTGGTGCTACAATTTGTGAAATTGGTTGAGATACTTGAGTCACCTCAATGTTACCGCTACCCGTTACAAATACTTTTTTCTTTTCACTTGTTGTTATTACATTCGGCGACATCGAAACTGGTGCATGAGACACCGAATTAATAGCTACAAAATCGATAAAAAAACAAAAATCAATAAAATAACATTACGATATTGCTTCACATCAATGTAATAAGCAACTTATAAAGATAGTGAAAAAAAGAGAAAATTTTGAAAAATCGAAAAGAAAAGTTCGAATTCAATGTAATAATGTGAAAGAAATGTGTGGCCGGACATAAAGATGTTCAATGAGAGAAGAGAACGATGTAAACAATACCTCTCATGTGTTGTACAATTTGCGGTTGTGAACTTGAACTAATTGGTGTACTTGTCACTTGATTAATAATCGCATTTGTCGACGACATTTGCGGATTAGACTGTATGACATTTGCACCGGCTATTATGATTAATCAGAATAAAATACAAAGTTTTCGAATTTAAAACACTCGCACCAGTAATAAAATTCGTTTAATACAAAACTAGGTCAAAAACAATGGAACGTTTGACTTGGTTTTGTTGTTTATATCTATATTTTTTCTCTCAATTTTGCTGAATAAATGGATTAAACAAAAGTTTAATGTGTGCATTACCATTTCCAGAATGTTGATTGACAATGACATGATGCTGTCGTGGTACTTGCGTCACAATCATTTGTTGTCCTTGTTGCGTGGTCATTATCATTTTCTGCGGAGTTGACGCTGTAATAAAATAAAACAAAATCGTAAAAAATATGTTGATCAATCAAAAGGCGTCGTTGTGTGTCTGCATACATGTATTTACGGCTGTTGGTGTTTGCTGTTGAAGGATGATGATTGTTTTTGTTGGTGCGCCACCTTGTTGTTGTGATGTTTGTGTCAAAAGAATTTGATTGACTGGCGGCGGCTGTTGTTGTGCCACCAAATATGTTTGACCTTGTTGATTGGTCGCCAGCATATACTGCGTTTGTGGCTACAAAATTAAAACCATAAACATCAGAAATGTTTGTAAAAATAAAAAAACAATTATTTTAAAAAATGCCATTCTTACAACTGGTTGAATGATTTGTTGTCCAATGCCACCGAGTTGCTTTTGGATTTGAATGTTACCCACTTGATTATTGCCGTGTTGTAAGATGACCGGTACAGTTTGGAATGCACCATCTCCAGTTTTAATTGTAGCTGTTGCTTGTCCCATTTGTTGATTTGATGTTGGTGGTGCAATTATCATTTGCTGACGAGCTGATGAACAAAAAATGTTTTGTCATTGGTTTGGACTCTCAACTAAATGTTTGAAATAGAAAAACGTGAATGAATCACATACCATTGTTGGGTGAGACTATGATTTGTCGTTGCATTGGCACACTGATCATTGATTTTGATTGTTGGTCCATAACCGAAGCTGGAATAACCTGTTGCTGTGATTGTTGTTGCTGTTGCTGTTGTTGCTGGTGCTGTTGCTGTTGTTGTTGGGTTTGTGTCAACGATGGTGGTTGCGATTGCAATTGTGACGTTGATGGTGTTTCCTCCAACTCCATATCTTCGTCTTCCAGCAATGATGCGGCAAATGTTGACAGATACGAATTAACGGCGTTCGATGATGATTTCGTTGCATTCTTTTTATCATTTGAAACATTGTCATTCTCTAGGTAATTTGATCGTTTGGTTGGCGGTTCATCGTTTGTTGGATTTGCATTTGTATCGCATTTTCTTTTATTGCTTATATCGCCTGAAACATTAAATGGTGGATCAGACGATTTTCGTTCAAGTAAATCGGCAAGCATTTTATTTGCCGTAACAACTTGAGAATGCTTGCCAGCAGCAATGAGATGTTGTTGATCTTTACCATCTTCTTCGATTTTTATATTGCCCGGCACCAATAAACCATCGAAACCGGCAAACGTTTCCGTTTCATCTTGACAACTTGGTGTCGTTGGATTTGTACCATATCTATTTTGTTTTTGTTGTTTGTTTTTTTTTTTTTTTTTTTTTTTTTTTT